CATCACAATTACAAGCTGAGGATTGGAATAATGAGGAGCATGATCATCCAAAGCCTATGCTCAACGGACGTGGAATTCTGAGATTAGAAGCTGGACAAATTGGATAGGATATTCTTTGGCAATGGCTACCCTAGCGAAGTGATGCAAAGAAACACACGGGCCGTGAAAAGCAGATGGCAGAAAGAGAATATTAAAGAACAGTAAGGATGATGAAGGATTCACAAAAGTGGATATGCATACCTTCCTGCAAACTAACTTAAAAACTACGGCCAATATAGAGGAAATGGAATATTCAGGTGGCCTTGAAATACAAACCAACATTTTTCAGAAGTATACCGATGCAACATAAAAGGGCAGATAAAATGGATTGTTCAGTTTACTATATATCATGCAGCGCGTGCGAACAGAAATATATCGGCGAAACAGGGAGAAAAATTAGAATATGAATCAAGGAACACCAGAGGCTCTGCAGGTAAATGGATACCGAAAGATCAGAACTAGCGTAACATATCTCACAGACTGGACGTGAGATCAATTGGAATGTAACAGAAAGAAGGGCCACATACGGCGACAACACAAGGAAGCGGAAAATTATGAAGGCCATTGACAAACTTGGGAAGAAAAATCTAATGAACTGGAGATTAGAGGAAGGTAGAGTTAACGATAACTTTGTCTACTGCTTAAAAAAACTCGGGGAAAAGCAGAATAGAGCAAGAACAGCATAAAAGGAGACGCCTGGATCAAGGATCTACCGCTAACCGGAGAAAAAGGGATTACGATGAGGAAAATGGGAGGCGGGGGTTTTCGGCAATCAAGTGAAGACCTTGTCTGTGAGTGATGTCCGTTTCGAATAAACCAGTACAACTTTGGGGGCATGGCAGTCAGGGAGCTGGGTAGACAGATAAGCAAACCGTCACGGAAATTCGGTGTTATGGCCAAAATGTACTAGAAATCCACGTGAGATGCCGCATGCGACCAGAGATAGGCGTCCACAGTTTGCTCAGATAACATGGGTTTAATCAAGGAGGACCTGTGAAGGAAAGGCCTGATATCTGCAAGCATGAGAATCAGAGCTTAGGCGCTCTGCTCAGTGAAGCGGCAGTGTCCGTGCTTCTAGAGCCTTGAGAAATAGCGCCTAGAGTGAAATGCACACTGGGACTAGAACCGAGTGAAATGGGTAAACCAGAAAGATAAGGAACGAATCTACGGGATCATGAAAGGATCCGGATTGTCGGCCCGAGTCAGATTAACTCATCGAAAGAGAGAGGATCGTGTTGAATAGCAGGTGTGATGAGACCACACTAGATTTGCCACAAAAGGGCACACATTTTGACGAGTGGAATGTAAACAAGTGAGAAATTGTGATAGAGCGGTAGTTTCATAAGAGAGTAAAGAGTAAGTATTCTTATTCAGAGTGGCTGCAGTTCCGACCTCGCATAAGTCTCATTAGCACCCCCAGCGGGAATCTAACTCGAGTAGTGCCACTTATATGTTGGCATGCTATCATTACGCCGTCGTATGCATCGTTTGGCTTACCTATATATATCCGACAAGGTTTCTAAATCATACTGACTGGGCGCATAGACTTTGCCAATGCACCAAAAATTTGAAAGTGAGGATTTAGTAATTTATGTGTTAACCAGATGTCAAGTTGGTGAAATCAATGATAAAATAAATATTTACAGTAGGATAAGTAATAAATATAAGTTTAACTATTTTTACTTATCCGACTTCCACTCTCGAGTATTATTGATGAATATACGGAGAAAAACAGTGTTTCGAAGAATTCTTTAATGATATATTGTGACATGTCTCTTCATTTCGAAGGGAAAGTTGGTTGGAAGGAATTCTTACAATACGACAGTCTTCACTATGCGACAATCTTCCTTCGGTTTCCGTTTAGCCTACAAGACCAATTCCTTCCAACCAACTTTTTCTTCGTAATGGAAAGTCAGAACGCATTACCGATGAATATCATCCTAAAGCTCTGTTTATAGTTATAATTAAATTCATAGATTGGATAACTCACCTGGGCAAGAACTTGCCAGATCTGGGTGGCCAAGTCGGACAGGAAATCGGTTTGCTGTGAGCGTTCAGCATATGCCTCAAGGCCAGCTAGACGACAGGCCATCTGATCAGCAGTGGCCTTAGCCTCGGCCAAGCCTCCGGCCAGTAGGCATGTGTCGGCGTATAGTCGAGCCGTTAGTCCTGCCAACCTACGCCAAGCAAGATAGCCTGCCGCAAGGGCATCAGCCAGCCGAGCATGAGGCGTTGTTAGACAGAGGCCGGCAAGAAGTCGCCCAAGATCAACTTGAGAGATGAGACCTGGTGACCCAGCAACTCCCGATGTCCAACAATTCGGGTGAATGCCATCGAGGCTACAATTTTGAGCTTCTCGCTGCTTACTAAATGGCTGCTGATGCTTCTCTTTCATTAAAGAAGGATTTGATGACTGTAAACAGGTCGGTTCCTCTGGTAGCGGACTGCCAGCCAAGAGAGCATCAAGTTTTCGGGCCAATGCTTGAGAGGCACAAAGTTCAATCGGTTGGCCTTGGTGTTGCCGCTGCTGCTGTTCTGGGGGAAAGTGGTGCTGGCACCAAATATCAGAGAATACTCGGCGCCAAATATCAGAAGGTGGGAGAGGCCATGACAAGAATGGAGAGGAGGACGAGTCGATATCTGCAAAGGTGGAACCTGCAGGGCGGCACCAGTTTAACGTAGCTGTAATCCAGGCAGGTTCATGTGATTTGTAGGACTCGGGAACTAAATTTGGAATTTTCTATCCAAATTCAGAATGTGAAATATGAAAATAAAACAAATCTATTATGAGCGAAGAAATCGGAGGCTAGAGATCGCTTAATATTAATGACTTCAGTATCTTGAAAACAATAGTGCCTTTAATAATATTTTATATATCAATAGTTCGGCCATGTTGGCCTCCCTGCATTAATGAAGTAGCAAGCAATTGCTTAAAGGTTTCATAAGAGCCTATAAGACTTGATACAAACATTAAACTCAACTTATTCGAAATTAATATATTTGAAAAAATAAGCTTGCTAACTTAAAATGCCTGAGAGTAATATTAGAGAAAGTAATGATATTGGCCTAAAATGGTAATAAATATATAAAATAATTTTTTGCATAGGCTCAAATGACTATATAAAGAATCTTGATGGACTAGCAACTGAAAATGACTATCGATATTATTCAATGGTCTGAGCAACGAACGAAGCTAAATAGAGCTTTAAATACAGTTTAGTTAACAGGCAGAGCATATAATATGTTATCCAGAAAGGCTAGATACAATGAACGAAATCATAAAAGACTGCAGCCAATGAAACCGGAGTTGTAAACTTCAATTAAGGAGTATAATGAGATGGTACTGGTGAGAGGCTAAGTGAAAAGACTTAATTCACTAGTAATAAGCTATTATTAAGATAATAATTTGTTTTAATGCCGATTGGGTAAATGCTTTCAAGACCAAATTCACTTTACGGTTGAACAGAAAATTGGTCAAGGGGATTGCCCTCACTTTTCACTTTGATAAGTTATAAATCTGTGCTATCGATGGTGCCTCTCACTGAAAATGCCGGCGTAACGTCTGAGAATGTGCTAAGTCAAGGGTCCGAAGCTGGAAATAAAAAATATAAGATGGCAGAGGACGCATAACTAGCTAAGTTTCACAATGTCTCCCTTGCGCTCCGACCAAGCTGTGAAAACTATGTCAAACCAATACTATGCAGCTAAAGGAGACAGCGACCAAGCAGGTCATACTATCCTAGTCTTCATATCTATGATCTAAATTCGCTAACTTGGTTTTTCCTTAAAAGCTCAAAATTTAAGATGGTCTGACTTTAAATTAGGAAATGCTGCTAAATGAATATAACTCAGTGTGGATTATGCACTAAAGCATGCACTTTAGGTTTCTTACGGGAACTCAAGTAAACCCATTAAGTATTCAAAGGTATAGCCAAAAGCTGCTGAATTCGTCTTTCAGAGCCAAGGTTAAAGAAATGGCAGTATAGTTAGGGTCAACAAAATTGAGCTCAATATAACAAGTCCCACGAAGGGGCACTCCAAATTATATAAGAATTGTCCTATGTTTCGAAGGTTTGGTTACATTTGATGTCAATTCATTGCGAGTAGATAGGATACTAGTTTGCCTAATACTAAGTTTTTCAAAATAGAGCCGCTGATGCTTTCGGCCTCCAATCATCATTATCAGATAGTCTAGTTGGCTTGCTAATTGGCCTAGAGTAAAATTCGCCTAGTCCTGGAAGAAGGGACGTCAAAATTTGCTCCGAAAACTTCAAGACTCTAGGCACGGAAAGAAATGTTGCTGCAATAACGGCCATAAATAACTCACAGCCCAATCGACCGGTTTGTTTTGATGCATGAGGCCTCACTAATGACTACAAAAGAAGGGCTTTACCTAATAAACATAGGAATAACATTTACACTTGACAGGCGGAGGATAGGTCTACAACTGTGAATAGGAAATACACAGCATTATCAGAAAAAGAGAAGTCTGAAGATGAATAAGCCGACTTCCTGCTAGCAACAAACCTATTAGAGGCAGAGAACTCGATGTGCCTTCAGATAGAAAAGGGGATATTCTGCTGTCTTAGTTACTAAAGCAGCCAAACTGGGGTCTCAAGTAAACATTATCGAGAATAGCAAATCATCCCGAATATTGATCACTTAATTTCTTCTTTAGAAAATCTACACTTCGCTATCCCTGTTTCTCTGCTCGAGGGTAACGTTATAGGTTAATAAGTCGTATCTTCAATAGTATTGCTCTTATGAAGCCAGCCACAAAGGTTTAAACAAAGAATATGATCCATTTAAGAACCAAACTTTCCTGTGTTACCGCTAGAAAAAGAGATCTCATCCGTCCATCTAGAAAACACACGCAGCGTATAAACGAGTGATGGTCAGGCCGGCATTGGCGGGGGAATAGACAGTGTGGCCATACCTGGCCATCAAAGGCCACATCTCGTCGAATCGAGTCAGGCAGAACAGGGGCCAAAGCCGTGCTGAAACACGCCAAGCCCTAATCGATATGACCAGAGGCACAACTAACCGAGCGAATAATGGATGGCCTATTGTGAGCCTAAGCATCTCGAACAAGTGAAATGTTAACTTAGCCCTCGCAATAACAAGTAACAACAATTACAATACTAAATTTAAGAAAGCATACGAACAAGCGAAGGCACGCATGCTGCTCTTTCCCATAACCATATGTGAAAGCACATGAAATCACGCATGTCCGTGAATTGGAAAACGCATACGCACATAAATAGTCCAACCGTATCTGTAAATAGTGTAGGTAACTGGGGTGCCAAAAATAAAAATTGGAGGAACTTT